TAAGATCTATTAGCGAGAGTCTGAAATCTAACGATTTATTAAACTAGTTGTATGTGTCTGCGTATCTAGACCCAGCTGGCTGCCATCGCTACCTGTTTATTATTGCTGCTCACTGTAAAATACTCTGTCTAAAAAAGATAAAGACTTTCTTTGCCCTGATTTATTTTTTCAATTTGCATATTCAGCTAAGACTTTGTTTTAAATAGTTGGTTTTAAATTGTATGTAAATATTGCAACGAACTGATGGTTTCATTTTCTAATTAAGAGTCAAACCCTTTTCTTTTATCTCCTTCCAACACTGACAGCTCCAATGCCAGTTATGTCACTTATTTTTTTTTTTGTTGTGCTTCTATCCTCTATTATATTTTACTTTTCAGGACTTTAATCTCCTTGATATGTGCTTCATATTTCATGATAATGTGCTCAACTTCCTGAGCAACATCTTAAATAAGGTGAACGAAATGTTAAGTATTTCATAGACAGCCTACTTGCTCTCAGAGGATAAGCGAAAGTAAAATGTAATTATAAAAATATAACTTCAGTTACAGGAAGAAAAAAAAAAGAGTTTTAAGCAGTAACTGTTTGATAATCTGATTATCAGTTAAATAAAAATAGGAAGCTGTTTGCTTATTTTGATATTGTTAAGAATACTCTAAAAAGTGGCTAAAAATGAAAATAATTTCAAGAATATTTTCAAGTAAAAGTATTCCATAGTTACAAGGCAATTTTTCAGCAGACTGAGAGTGTTTTGAAATAAAACCAGTCAGTCAACTTGAATTAATTTGATCTCAAAATGGTACATCAGGCTGATCTATACAGCCATATCGAATCAGTTAGAAAATGTATTCCATTTAGAGCTTGGTCGTCAGATAAAAAGTACATTTTGAGAACAGCTGTATTTAAAAAGGTATCTAAATATTTAAAATATTTCTTTCTATTGGTCATATTTCATATTCCTGTTTTAAATGTTGGGCTCCTCAGTGATGCAGTGGGTAGCACTGCTGACTTGCAGCAAGAAGGTTCTGGGTGCAAATCCCGGCCAGGGGTCTTTATGCATGGAGCGTGCATGTTGTCCCTGGGCATGCATTGGTTCTCTCCAGGTACTCTGGCTTCCTCCTATAGTCGAAAAACATGCCTGTTAGGTTAATTGGTTTCTCTAAACTGTCCTTAGCTGGGATAATAATGTGGTTCTGGGAGTGTGTGTGTGAAGAGTTGTTTGTCCTGTTTGTCTCTGTGTTGCCCTGCGATGGAATGGGGACCTGTCCTCGGTGTACCACGCCTTTCTCCCATAGAAAACTGGAGATAGGCAACAGCACCCCTTGTGGCCCCACTTGGGATAAGCGTGACAGAAAATAGATGGCTGTTTTAAATGTCATGTTTTATTATGAGTGTAAGATCTTCAGCAGTAGAATGTTTCATACAAATCAAAGCTTTAAAGTATTAGTCTGTTACTGATGAATCCATAGAATGTATCTCATTTAGTGACTTTAATTGGTGAATTTAATTAACTTTTCTGTAATATGCATTTTTATTTAAGGGAAAGTATAGGTACCAGTGTAAAACAACAACTAAATATGCTAATTTATACCCTTCAGTGAAGCATTCCCTGAGATATTTCCGTACTGCTACCTACGGAGTCCCAGGCTTTCCAGAGTTTGTTGGGGTTGCAACAGTAAATGAAGTTCAGATGGGATATTGCGACAGCAACATCAAGACCGCCAAGCCCAAACAAGACTGGGCAATGACACTGTTTGAAAAGAATCCCAACCACTTAGAGTGGTATTCTCAGAGGTGTCTTCGAAGTCAACATGTATTGAGAGCAGAAATGAATAGCTTGAAGCAACGTTTAAACCTCACTGAAGGTAAGGATCTTTTTAATAAACACGTTTTCTTTACCTGCACTCACCGGCCACTTTATTAGGTACCCCATGCTAGTAACGGGTTGGACCCCCTTTTGCCTTCAGAACTGTCTCTCTCCCTGCCCAGTTCAGGACCTAGAAG